TACTATATACCAAGAAAATCAATTACAGGGTGAATTAGTAAAACTATGTAATAAACATTGAAGAAGTTAAAATCTAACAATGAAACTACTACTATATACCAAGAAAATCAATTACAGGGTGAATTAGTAAAACTATGTAATAAATATTGAAGAAGTTAAAATCTAACAATGAAACTACTACTATATACCAAGAAAATCAATTACAGGGTGAATTAGTAAAACTGTGTAATAAACATTAAGGAAGTTAAAATCTAACACTGAAACTACTACTATATACCAAGAAAATCAATTACAGGGTGAATTAGTAAAACTATGTAATAAACATTACCGAAGCTAAGAATGTAATTATTACAATATATTAAGATCTTAATTTACAGAGTGGATAGTCAAACTAAGTGATACTGATTACAAGAAAGCAACAAAATTATTAAACTGAGCTATAAAACTAAATATTAAAAGTTATATCATATCATCTATATAGATCAAGATGTTTTTGTACAAACCGATCATCGGACTCTAAGTAATAAACATATACCAATAGCAAAACAATATATATATATATAAACATTTACATTAAACTAAACCTGGTGAAAATGATTAATGGACGTCAATGATATAACATTTATCAGTTGTTCTAGTTACAAAGTGAGGAGGCATTATATAATATAGAAGGGGAAGATATCAATCTTTCGGTGAAGTAAACAATTAAATTAGGTAACTAAGTCGAAGTGCAACTACTAATACACGTGGGCAGTTATACTTGCTGACTGGACAATAATAATAGGAAACAATGATTAGAAACTTGAACAATAAAACTGTTAGTACGTACTCCAGGAATGATGACGAACTTTGATTCTCTATTATCATATTTAAAAGATGGGACTTTTAGAAGATGACAATAATGTAATCACGAATGGAGCACAGCGGAAAGTCTGAGGACTTATCAGACTTTCCGCTGTGCTCCATTACTACTACTCCACTACTAACAAACAAATGTTTTGTTTAGAATTATGCACAAAGCTACACAATGGGCTATCTGTACTCTGCCCACCACGGGTATCGAAACCAGGTTTCTAGCGTTGTAAGTCCGCAGACATACCCATTGGGGGGGGAGACAAAAAATGGAAAATTAATATTAGATAATAAAGATTTACAAAAGCAAATGTTTATAAGAAACAGAAATAAGTAAAGTTGAAGACGGCTTGTTTAGGTAATGAAGAAAACTTTATTACAAGTTTAGCATAGCAAAAAATGTAGAACGTTTCAACAAGGTTTTCCCATCAACAGGTACCCTGTCAAACCGTTAAACTTGTATATATCTACCGCTGCATTTCAATCATAGCGAATTCAAGAAACTAATGAGAAAAGAACCTTAAAGAAACTCCACAGTAGCTAGTTTATACCTCCTGCTGATTTACAATACTCAGATTGTGGAAGAAATTTCGGAGCAAAAATAGAACTACTGCATTAACCCGATTATAGAGCGACCCCCATTTTAAGAAATCATGAGAATGAATAAAATTTAGTGTAATAACGTCCCGTTTTAGGTCAGCAAAATCAATACTATAACTGAACAGCCTGCAGGTGAATTAGTTGCAAGAATTAGCGATGACCTTGAGCGAACATCTGGCGTGCATACTAGAAGAATGCTATCTGAACATTCAGGAAAGAGACAGTCCAAAATAGGGGGAAGGGACCCGTGGTCCGCCACGATTAGAAGGTGACTAGCAATTTCACATTCTAATTATTAATCAGAAACATCGCCTTACAATCGGGCCAATACGGTATGTAGCCATCTTCAGGCCTATAGACGGCGAAATGAGACAAATTAACTCCAATTGGAAGTATGTGGCTGTCATATTCGATTACGACGGACAACCATAAAACTTGTAATTAAGTTTATTCTTTACCCATTCAAGCTTCTTCAAACTTTATTTTCTCAAAAAACTTACGGTGCAGTTGTATTTGACGCAGTCATCCCAGAACTTCGAAGCAGAAAACTTCGGTCGGATGACGACACTATTACCAAAGAGAAGAGCTTGGCCAACAACGAGGATCCCACCGGCGGTATGATACAACGGTAAACAGTTGTATATAATGTCTTCATCCTGAATATGAAGCGCATAATGATAGCCAATTGCTATCCACAAGTATCTGAAAAAAAGCAAAAAAAGAATGATTAGTCAACCCTCTCCCTGGAGAATAATTTCTGTAATGGTTGCGATGTCTTTTGATACCTATAAAATCAGGGATTTCTTGTATCCATATGTCATATAAACGTCAGTTATATTTATTTTCTGTACAAATCATATTGCCAGTTATGTTGGATATCTACATAAAAGAATAATATAAATTAGAAATTGTAGAAATTCCAACTTAAAAACTTGTATAAGAGAAGCGAGCCTGAAACTAAAACGTCACAAACAACTATCTAACCCAAAATGTAATGAAGACTCGATTAAGTGCGTTTTCAGGAAGATCTAACTTGTAAATACTGGTAATTACTAAATATATATTTTCAACTAATAAACTAGTGCGGGCGTATATTGAAACACCAAATAAACAGTCATTTCATGAGCCTTACACACAAACTAATCATTAATTTACTGCAAAACTTAACTTATAGTTATTGCAAGTTAACATTACAGAACCCTGTTAAAGAGTTATTATGCAAATAACAATGTCTTTAAGCTTCTTTAAGTATTTGGCATGAATAACAGTTTGGCATCTTTGGGGCACTGCTTTTGTGTATTTTATTAAAGAATCATGTATATTTTGATTCATTTTGTCCAGAGGCTTTCAGTTACAGCTGGTACAGTTTGGCATCTTTGGGGCACTGCTTTTGTGTATTTTATTAAAGAATCTGGTATATTTTGATTCATTTTGTCCAGAGGCTTTCAGTTACAGCTGGTACAGTTTGACATCTTTGGGGCACTGCTTTTGTGTATTTTATTAAAGAATCTGGTATATTTTGATTCATTTTGTCCAGAGGCTTTCAGTTACAGCTGGTACTTTTGTCAAGTATGGAGTCCAGAAAATTCCAGATTTGTTCCATGAGGTTAACATCTGTACTTTGTGATGATCGCTCCATTCGCTGAAGATATCCTGAGTTTTTTTTTTATATATATAAATAAGCTCGAAATTCCTTGGAAGTGTGTTTGAGTCACTATCTTATTGAAATCTGATATTCTGCTCAATCAGTTTCTTTCCAGAGAGTATGACATTATGGAATAATATACTATGATATTTATGCTGATCCCTGATTCTATAACTTTTGTAAAGATGGCCAAAACCATTCTCAGATTATATTTAACCCCCCACAGAGTCTTCTGCATGCTTCACAATCTGCACAAGGCATTTCTTCTGCAACCTATCATTAACTCTTCGGCGAAAACATATATACACTAGCTGGAACCAAACTGTTCAAATTTAGACTCGTCTGTTGAAAACACTTTATGCCAATGTTTCAAAGGCCACTAAACACGTTCTTTCACAGTAATTAGTCTCTTTTCGTAGTAAAGGCTTTCTTGTTGCCTTTCTTCACCAAGGACACATTTATTTAGCGGTCTCGATACTACACTCTTTGAATCCTTATCTGTGCATGATCTGCTAACGCCATTGGCAAGATTTTCGCACTTTTTCTTTGATTTTTCAATGAACTGATTCTTAAATTCGTCCTCTGCCTTGTGTGATGTCTTAGGTCTGGATGTCCTTGTCTAATGTGTGCTCCACAGTACTTGATGAATAGCGGGTTATTTCTTTTCAATTCTAATCAGCACCACGTAAAAATGTGAATTTGTCAAAGGGTGTGGGTTCTCTCTGTTTTGGCGTTTTAATAACAACACCCCTTATATGTCTACATGTACCTACAGGAAAACTAAGAATGTGAAAACCTCAAACCTTAATCAATGATAATTGATACAGAAACTAACGGTAATCATGTGTTGCCCCACTATACAGTTAAATCAATCATCTTGAACAACTTTAAAAAAATATATATTGCATTTAATAATGTGTTTTTTATCTAATTTATGTGTTTATTTAATGATAATAATAATGTGTTTTTTATTTAATTTATGTGTTTATTTAATGATAATAATAATGTGTTTTTTATTTAATTTATGTGTTCATTT